AAGTATTTTTTTTTTCTCTCCAGTATAGAAGAGCAGGGCATTGGGAATGGATGATTAAGCTGAGATAATTGCTAAAATCAAACTTAGGTATCCTAAAAACTGGTATTCAAAAAACAAAGAATAAAGTCTTTTTTTTTTTTTTTTTTTTTGAGACAGAGTCTCACTGTGTTGCCCGGGCTAGAGTGCCGTGGCATCAGCCTAGCTCACAGCAACCTCAAACTCCTGGGCTCAAGTGATCCTCCTGCTTCAGCCTCCCAAGTAGCTGGGCCTACAGGCATGCGCCACCATGCCCGGCTAATTTTTTTCTATATATTTTTAGTTGTCCCATTAATTTCTTTCTATTTTTAGTAGAGACGGGGCTCTCACTCTTGCTCAGGCTGGTTTCAAACTCCTGACCTTGAGCGATCCTCCTGCCTTGGCCTCCCAGGGTGCTAGGATTACAGGTGTGAGCCACCACACCTGGCTGAGGAATAAAGTCTTGATTTTCATTGCATGATATAGGGACTGGGGTGTGCAAAAAGGAGATTATGATGTTGATATGATCTGGGCATTGCTGATTATAAGGGAAATGATGAAAATAGTCAATCCAGCTTCTCATAGTTCTTTTCTGGTTAGATGAAAAGCTTTCTTTTAGACTTTCATTGTCAAGAATTCAACTCTGCAAGCATTCACTAAGTACCAACCATGTGAAGCTCTAGGCCCTGGGTGTTCAAAGATGACTGTGCCTCAGCCCCTGCCTAAAAGAACACTCAATCTAATGAAGAGTAACTATTGTTAATACCAATTTTTTGCACCCGAAGGATTTTTTTTGGTGACATTATTTGAGGCCCAATGACCAAAAATATCTTCCTTATTAAAATTCTCACATGATACATCCCTGTGAGGCTAGGCTTGTGTTACAAAGGCCTGGTTATCATGCCATGTGCAAAAAAATAAATTCTAGATAGACTGTAGATCTAAATGTAAAACAATAAAGATCCTGGAAGAAAACGTAGACTGTCTTCATGACTTTGAGATAGGCAAAGATTTCTTAGATAGGACACGAAATATGCTAGCTATAGAGGGGGAGAAAAATGAACAAATTGGGGTACATTAAAATAAAGAATTTCAGTTTATTATAAGATACCATTAAAAAATGAAGTCTATGTAATGGGAGAAAATTTCGCAATACAAATATTCAGAAAGGACTTGTGTGTAGAATATGTAAAAAACCCCTACACATCAATAAGAAAAAGGTAGATTATGCAATAGAAATATGTGAAGTAGACTTGAGTAAGTACTTCACCAAGGAGCATGTTGGTTGTCTTGGTTGGGGTAATGACTGGAAGGGAACACAGGGGGCAACTGGGGTTCTGGTAATAACGTTGATTACTTGCTTGGGTTTGCTTCGTGAAAATCCTTTTTTTTTTTTTTTTTTTTGAGACAGAGTCTCGCTTTGTTGCACAGGCTAGAGTGAGTGCCGTGGCGTCAGCCTACCTCACAGCAACCTCAATCTCCTGGGCTCGAGCAATCCTTCTGCCTCAGCCTCCCGGGTAGCTGGGACTACAGGCATGCGCCACCATGCCCGGCTAATTTTTTATATATATATTAGTTGGCCAATTAATTTCTTTCTATTTATAGTAGAGACGGGGTCTCGCTCTTGCTCAGGCTGGTTTTGAACTCCTGACCTTGAGCAATCCGCCCGCCTCGGCCTCCCAAGAGCTAGGATTACAGGCGTGAGCCACAGCGCCCGGCCTGAAAATCCTTCAAATTATTATCTGTATACTTTTCTGTACTGTCACTGAAAAAGTTTACATAATAGAAAATGCCTCGTGCAGGACAAGGAATGTGAGCGAAATATTTTCGGAGGTTAATACTGACTGCAAAATTTATCTCCTCATTTAGCATTGCCCCTACTATGGAAGCAGAGGAAGTATTGAGAGCAGGCGGCTTTGCAAGGTGGCTAGAGTAGGTCCAGTTTGTTAAATAGTCCTGCACATGGTCTGGCAGTATCTTGTATTAGCATAAGGCCTTTGGCCACCAATATCCTGAGAAGGGAGGAGGGAAACAAAAGCGATTACGGAGGAAGCAGTGGAAACAAGCTTGATTACTTTACAATTTTGGTGTATGGCTAATTCTGCCTGTAATCCTATTTAAGTTGCCACTTATTGATCCCCTTATCACATGCCCAGGCACTGAGATAGAGGCTTTTGTGCATTACAAATTTTAAATCCTCACCACAGTCCTGGTAGGCATGTACTATTACTCAACTTTACAGATAAAGAAACTGGGGCTTAGAGAGTTTAAATAACTTGCTCAAATTCCAGCTAGGAAGTAGCAGCAAGCTACAGCTGGAACCCCTGTGTGTGTGATTCAAAAGCCTACCCCCTTGACACGTCTGTTATGTTGCCTTATTTTTTAAAGAAACCAATTTTATTTGATTGAGTATAAGGAAGAGAAGAAAAGTACTTAATATGTACTTAATGTTCAAATTTGATGATAAGAACTTCTCAAACCAATCTCGAAGTCTGAGGTTGGCTACATTACAGGTTTTTATGAACTGGAGTTTTCCTTTTCTGTTGTAATACAGTGAGGAATACCCAGATGGGGTGCAGAATTGAGAAATCCTCCAAGAAACCACACAGGTTATGATGAGAACGCCCCTGTATGGGTGACCTATGAGCCTTTCTCAATGCTTTAGGGATGTTTTAATAACCTGAGTAATTGCCTGTGATAGGCAGGCTTTGTTTTTTGTTCATTAATAACTCTCTAGGCTGGATTCTATTCCTCTCACCACTAATTCACATGCAGAGATACATAAAATGGATGCTGCCGGCTGATTGCCACAGCACTGTCTGCATATCAATGTTCTCTCCTGCCTGCTTGGGCACGGAGGGAAGGAAAGGAGGAGAAAAGGAAAAGGGAACCCCTGATAGCTGAATCTATTTTAAAAGCCAAATTCTGGTACAGAAACCAGAATTTTGACATATACAAATGATTGACGTTTGTGCGTGGTTAGGGCTTTGGGATTGCCCTACTTAGCATATGCATGCCCTCTTTTTCCCTTCTTGTGATCCACAGCATGCCTTCGGAGCACACACAAGTAAATATCTAATACTTTTAGTTCATTTTGCTCCTGTGGCTTGTTTTTGGTCCTCAGGGTATTCACATTTGCAGCCTGTGGAGCGTTTATAGCATTGGAACATCACCACAACCCTAAATGAAATTTGGATTATTTATTTCCAAATGTGTCTCCCTAACAGTGTGATGACTGTAATGATTGTGTAGGCAATATGGTGGAAAGGCGCATGAGCTGATTTGAATGGAAATACATGTGGATATAGCTTTCGAGCTTTCTGTTCATTAAAAAAGTCTGCTTTCTTTATCCTTGGGGCTAGTTATCCTGCCTTTATTGCTGCGATGATACGCAAGAAGGAAACACCAAAAAAGCTGAAATAATTGAAAATGCCTGGCCGGGTGCAATGGCTCACACCTGTAATCCTAGCACTCTGGGAGGCCGAGGCGGGCGGATAGCTTAAGGTCAGGAGTTCAAACCCAGCCTGAGCAAGAGCAAGACCCTGTCTGTACTAAAAATAGAAAGAAATTAATTGGCCAACTAAAAATATCTAGAAAAAGTTAGCCGGGCATGATGGTGCATGCCTGTAGTCCCAGCTACTCGGGAGGCTGAGGCAGGAAGATTGCTTGAGCCCTGGAATTAGAGGTTGCTGTGAGCTAGGCTGATGCCATGGCACTCTAGCCTGGGCAACAGAGTGAGACTCTGTCTCAAAAAAACAAAAACAAAGATAAGAAAATGCCCACATCCAACCCCACTTAGTTTATTTTACTGGAATCTATCTAGTTATATGGACTTGTTTTATGTACAGGTGCTTATAAAAAAACTGGACAGGAGTTCTGGGTTGCATCATTTGAAGTGTAGAACTTGTAGTTTAGAAGTAGATTCCTCTTCGGGAAATATGTAATTATTTAATAATTTAATTAGCACTGTCCATGGTGTCTTGAAGCTATTCAGAGTACTGTAGGAATATCTGTTGTACTGTGATTGTGGGGATTGCTAGGTTGTTTCCCCAAATGCCTTGATAACAGCAGTATGACATACATAGTTTGGTGTAGCAGTGACCTGGTGCCGTAGTCACCATAGGGATTCTTCATATTGGCTTCATTTTTGTAAATTAATACTGTCAAGTACATTCAAGGTGTTCTTTTCTGGGGAGGGTTGTTTTCATTGAGTCCTGGCCTTCCTCTTTCTTTATTTAATGAAATAGTGACAGCTATCACTTTCTACCTTCAAACAATATTATTAGTAGATTTACAAAGAGAAAATCATTTTCCAGGTGGGCCTATGTCTACGCTGGCAACCATTTTATACACATGGCCTCATTTAAATGGCCAGGAGTTGCATGTATAAATGGGCAAGTTTTCAGGTAATTTGGGTAGGTTTTTCAATCTCACATCCCTGTTTCCCATGTAGACAACTCCTTTCATGTCCATAACATGTTTATGCAACATTGAATAAAACTTCTAATGGGAAATTTCTTCCAGGTGACCTCCCTGAGAGGCTAGGCTGGGAAGAAATCTTAAGAAACCCGACCCTGATGATATTGCCTCTGTTGAGAATATTACTTGGTGTAGGAACAAGGGACAGAATTCAGTTATTTTTGGTTCTTGGATAAATGAATTCTGTTTCCTTTTGTGTAGGTGGCAGAAGAAATTAACCCCTACAGAAGATCCATTCTCATTCCAGTCTTAGTTGGAAATTGAACTTTTGTTTCTTTTGAGTTAGGGGAACCCTGGATAAGAGAATGTTAAATTGTTTTTATTTGAACCTCAAGCAACTTAGAATCGGTTCTGCTGTCTGCATGTCTTTGATAGATCTGTCTTTTCCAGGGTTGTCTGTCTTTATATTTAATCTTCTGGAGGCTGGGACTGTGATTATCAAATGACTTCTAACTTGGCACCATGTGTGGATGGATACTAATGAATCCTTTCTTAACCTTTCCCAGCACTTTTGGAGAAATCAATCAGTAGAAGGAGGGACACTGAAGCCACACAGAAAGCCAAAATCCTTTATTCATCCTGCATGAATGAGAGTGAGTAATAAAGAAAATAAATGAAATATTCACCACCCTTAACCTTCAGAGTTCTATTAATGTTTAAAGATTTTGTTTGAGGAAAATGAGAACTACTAAGAATGATATTAATGTTTAAAGGTGTTGTTTAAGGAAAAAAAACAATTCTCAAAGACTGGATTTTGACTAGTCCTGTCTTAGTTAATGTTCTGTTGCTAGCCTGATGGAGAAGATAATCTTATTTCTAAGGCTTGAATTCTCTGGGTATCAACTACTCCATGAGAAACTTGGGCAGGGTCAAAAGGACAAACCCCATTGTACCTTGTGCAGAAACTGGAATTCAGAGGCCAGGCCAGATCTGGTCTGAGAAAGAGGCTGGGAAGAAGTACACTTGGGAATGTTGATATGTTCCATAGGACCTACTGGACCCTATAGAAATCCAGGTTCCCTGGCATGCCAGGTTTCTGCGTCAGCCTAACAAACATCTTAATTGAGTGCCTTAGGCCTGTCTCAACATCTTGTGTCTGAATGGAGTTGGAAGAGATACTTGCCATTTTACCTGGTTCCCTTTCTCAAGGCCATTGTGGAAAGAAGCCAGTGCCTCTTGGAAGAGTGTTAATTGGTCTAAGGTTTAGAGTATCATTTGGTGAGCTAGAAGAGAGCAGTAAAAGATAAGAGTCTGAAGCATTAATTCACCTTCACTGGGGAATGATTGGCTTCACTGAAGCATTTCCTTTAGTTAAGGGTGTTCCTTTGTCCCACCAAGTATTATCAGCCTAACATCACTCGTTGGCTGGGGTCAATGTAGTGAGGCATGTTTTATCGTAGGAAATATCCAGCAGGTTCCTTAGTGAGCTCTCCTGGAAGGAACAGTAGGTTTAGACAGTCACAGTGAAGTGTGGGTCATAGGTAAGTTCTGTCTCTATGGTTATGTTCATCCCAACCTCCCCTTTCCCTAATAGCTGAAATTTTAAGTTGGGGCCTTATGGGAATTTTCGCTTGAGAAGATGCACTTGCATTCTAGTTTGGTGATCCAGTTTGCAATTCTAACCCTCCCTTCATATCTGCTCCCTTTCAGAAGCGATTGAAAAAGCAGATGCCAAGCCACTGCTACATATCCTGCGGCATTCACCTTTTCGCTGGCCTGTGCTCGAATCTAATATTGGTCCTGAAGGGGTTTGGTCAGAGAGAAAGTTCAGCCTTCTGCAGACACTTGCAACATTTCGTGGTCAATATAGCAATTCTGTGTTCATCCGTTTATATGTGTCCCCTGATGACAAGGCATCCAATGAACATATCTTGAAGGTATAGTGAGAACTCATCTTCTTTGTTCAGTCTGAGATTAACCTTTTGGGCTGCCTTTCTGGGGAAAGAGACTCATGGTGCCTTAGTGAAATAATAAGGTAAAAATTCTATTGAACAGTAGGATCTAGAATATTCCTCTCCTCCTAGCTTTGCAGAATGTAGAGGATTATCAGACAAGTTTTGTTGGCCTTTCAGAAAGCTGGTGAATGAGTTTCAAGTGACCTATGATCTGGCCCTCAACTGTCTACTTTGAGTACATCTAGGGATCCTAAATTCCAGTGGGCAGGGGGCTGCAATTTCCCTTTGTGAGCAAAGACTTTCTGAACTCTGCCCTTTCCCTTGCCACTACATTCCCCCGATGGATGAGAGAACATGTGCTATAATTCCTTGTTCCCTTTTCAATAACATGTTCTTGCATACATGCCTAAACTTTCATTGTCAAGTTCAATCTGAATCTCTCCACCTTCCTTTCAAAAGATAAAGCAACACTTACTCTGTTCCAAGTGTTGGGAGAATAAGCATTTCTTTCATAAAGGTGTAGGCTATGTGAACAGACCCTGAGGTGATCACATTGGTAAGTTCAGGAGGCTGTCAGAAAACTACCAACAGTGAAAGATTCACCAGTGAAAGAGCTTTGCAAGAATTCAAATAACATTTTTCAAATTGTTTTGTGCTTTGATCCTGCTGGGTTTTTTTTGCTTCCATAGTTACTTTGACTAATAATGAAAATGTTATTGAACCAATGATTCCCCACCCCCAATTCTTTACTTAGTTAACCTACAGAATATTAATGATATATTGATATTCAAATTGTAGAAGTATATTACACTCACCTCATATAAGTCAACCTTTCAAAATCCAAATCCTGGAGTTTATCTTTTGATTTAGACCAGGGAATGGCATAGTTTTTTGGTAAAGGGCCAAATAGTACATATCTTAGGATTTGCAGACCATCTGACCTCTGTTGCAACTATACAATTCTGCCATCGTACCTGGAAAAGCAACCATAGACAACAAATGGGTATGGCTGTGTGGCGGACTTGCCTGAAGGCTGCAGTTTTCTGAACTTTGGTTTAGACAATGAAAGTCTTAATAAAAATCTTCAGTCATTAAAAGAATTCCCATCTACTCAGGAGGAAATTCTGAGTTTTAGAGACAGCTGTGTTTTCATGTTGGGTGATGAAATGATAACATGGTACTATGTGAGACACAATGATGGTGATGATCCAATTGACCTCTGTCCTATGTTGATAGATTACTCATTTCTTTTTTAAAACTAGATTTTAAGACTGTCATTCTTAATTCTAGAACTATTCTGACATTCTTTCAAACACCTTAAATGGTGTTTTGAAGTAAGCTGGGGACTGTCTTTTAAACTTAAGCTTATGCACTCTATTGAACGATGGAAGATCTTGATTCTTACACAAGTGGGTAATTGTAAATGGGAGCCAGTTTATTTATTTATTTATTTTGACCAATTTCTAGACCTAGTCAAAGAATTGAATCTATTTTGTTAAATATTTTGTTATAGAAAATGACATACACAAAAATAAAAAGAATAGAACAATAAACAATCAACAATCAACCCAGCTTCAACAACCTTCAACTTTCTACTGTTCTTTCTTTCTTTTTTTTTTTAATCTAAACCCCTCCTATTTGGGGGAAGGGGCTAGAATATTTTATAGCAAATCCAAAATATAATATCATTGCACTAGTAAGTATTTCAGTGTTTATCTCATGGAAAGGACTATTATCACAACAAAAATGGTAATCATAATCCATAATTAATGTTTAATACCCAGTTAATTTTTGCTTCTCTTGATTGTCTCAAACATGTCCTTTTTTTGAAAAACAAAAACAGTTGGTCTTTGATTTGGGCTCCAAATAAGCATCATATATGCATTTGGCTGATATGTCTATTTTAATTCACAAGAGTTCCCCCTCTTTGTTTTTTAAACCACATTTATATGTTGAAGAAACTCGACTATTTGTCCTATAGACCTTCCCATATTCTGATTTTGGCTGATATCTGGGTAACCTGATAGCTGATGAGAGAAAGTTCTTGTTCATAGGAGAATCACAGCTTAAAAAATACAGGAGAAATAATAGAATTATAGAGTTATCCAATTTATAAAAATCTCTAATGAAATGATAAATCTATATAATTATCATCAATAGCTGTTAAAACCATTAGGTGAAAGGGTGATTGGGAAATTCATAATAGAGAGATCAGATTGACATCACCATAACCCAAATTCAATGATGCCATTGCTAAAAGTGGGACAGCTAGATATTGTGTGCCTTCTGATACCATGCAGTAGGAAGTATACACTATTACCAATAATGTTGTGCCAAAAAAAGGGAAAACAAAAACTTTGAATGTGATCAAGCTTCTAGTTTTCATACTAGCTTACAGAAAACATGAGAAATAGAGGAAAATAGAAACCAATTTTTAACAGCTTGCCTTGCACACTTAATAGTCAATTAAACTGGTTCTAGAAATGCTAAACTGTCTTTGGATAGAATACTTTCCAAATGTAAGGAGGCACTCATGTATTTATTATTGCCGTCCTGTGCCAAGATGGCAGCTTATTCCAAAATGAAATGTTTGAGCATTGCTTGGTATTTGAGTGCAGCACACGTTTGCTTTAGTTCTGTCCCTGTTTGTATTATTTTACATTAGTGAATATTCACACATCTGAATTAATGGCCTTCCCCCAAATACAATATAGCTACAGTCTTCCTAATGATAATATAGTTACAAGAAGTTTAAGCACGTGTCTAGAGATACTAGGAGAAGCTTTCTTCTGAACATGAAACCCAATAAACTTGACAGCAAAAATTAGTGTATCTATGGCTGCCAAAGTTGTAGAATTTGTGAGTGTTGCTTTTTTATTAGTTTAAAAATAGTTCAAACTATAAAAAACAAAATCTAATTCAATGAATACCTTTTAGGTTTTGTGGAACATAGTTTGCAAGCCATTGACATAGTGGAAAAAGAGTAGGCTTTGCTGTTAAAAAGTTTGAAGTTTGCAGTTTAGCTTTGTAATTTACTCATTGAATATCTTGGTGCAAGTTAGTTAACTTTTCCAACTCTCACTTTCCCCATGTGTAAGGAAGGATGAATTAAAATTTACTTTTCACTGTCACTGTGAAGGTTAAAAATGACTCGAATTTTGTGATAGTTTCCATGGTAGATAGTGGCCCATCGTAGCATATGACACAAGGTTAGCTTCTCTTAAAGCATGACCCAGCAACTGGTCAGCACCATTTGGAGAATCTTTCTCTTCAAATTTGTGTATCCGACATGCCTCTCAGATGTTAAATTCAGTTGTGCCAGAAATATGTATTTTCTTTAATCAGCCTACACTTTGACTCCAAGCTCCCACCCCACCTTTTGGTGGGAAAACTGAACCTCAGTCCAGGTACTTCTCCCCCTCCTCATGGCCCCATTTCTCAGTCTTCTCTGAGGGTACTGGGAGGCCCTCCTGTCATCAGTTATCTGGTTTCTGAGAAGAAACGCACCACGGAACCTGTGTATCTCCTTCCAGTGTGCTTCTGTGATGCTGGGGTCCTGGGCTTCCCATTCCCTTTCAGATCATGTCACACACATTCTAGGGGCACCGACTGGTTCCTCTGCTCATGAGAACCATTGATTTCTTTTGCTGCCTGGGAGATCCTCTTTCTGCTCTGGGAAAAAAAATCCCCTTTACCTCAAACTCTCTTCTCTCAATGTCCTTAGGCTTCCTTTTCCATCCAATTGTATTTTCCACAGTGTTTTCAGCTGTTCTAATCCCAGAAACCCACAGGGATAAGAAAAAGGCCTCCTTCTGGGCAGACACAACACTGTGGGCATACTGTTGGGTGAGCAGATGGTGCCTTTGGGTGAAGAAAAATACACCCCTTCCAAGGGGCAGATATGTCCCCATGCCAAGGACATGCAGTGTGGCTGGCAGGCATTGCTCCAAGCCACACAGTGGCCCTCTGCAAAGCTCCCCTGTGGTGAGATGGCATGGGATTTGCCACAGGTTTAAGTGGGAGAAAGGAAATACAAAAATACAGAAAACAACAGAAGTTAGTGACCAAAAACATTGTCTTGCTGCATGTGTTTGGATTTTTTTTTGTGTCAGGAGACAGGAAGAATGAGGATTTAGGGGACTATAAAAGACTTGAATGTATATGGTCCTGAAAGAGTATTTGGAAGGTAAGGGTTTTCCCAGTATGTGTTACTAGTTATTGAAAAAAACAACTTAAATCATTATCACTCAATGGCCTGCATTTTTCTGGCTTTCAGCAAATTAATAAAAACAACAAGGAGAGACTTTCTTAGAAATGAAGTTTTTCTAATTTCCTTGTCTTTTATTTTCCTTTTTTATCTCCTTCCCAGGAACTGGCAGAGCATAGAATTTTATTTTGTTATTTTTATTTATTTTTTTATTGATACATAATAGCTGTATATATTTTCATGATACATATAATTTGATACATTCATATAATCAAATCAGGGTAATTGTAATATCCATCACCTTAAATATTTATCTTTTCTTTATTCTAGGAACATTCAAATTATTCTCTTCTAGTTATTTTGAAATGTATCATCCATTAATGTTAACTATAGTCAGCCTACTGATTTATCGAACACCAGGTCTTATTTCTTCTATCAAACTGTATATTTGCACCCATTAATCTAACTCTCTTCATTTCTCCCTCCCCTTGCCCCATCCTTCCTGGCCTCTGATAACCACAAATATACTCTGTATCTTCAAGAGATCTACTTTTTTAGCTCCTACATATGAGTGAGAACATGTGATATTTGTCCTTCTGTGCTTATTTTTTTTTATTTTTTTTTTTGAGACAGAGTCTCGCTTGTTGTCCAGGCTAGAGTGAGTGCCGTGGTGTCAGCCTAGCTCACAGCAACCTCAAACTCCTGGGCTCAAGCAATCCTGCTGCCTCAGCCTCCAGAGTAGCTGGGACTACAGGCATGCGTCACCATGCCCGGC